TATTAACAGAATTTCTGCAACAGTAAAATTTCCATAACATTGACAATTCAGTATCGCTGCTGCTACTGCAACTTTCTGGAGGATCAAAATGAAATGAACAAAGCTTCCCTTCTAAAGCTTTCATCTCCTGACAATACCAGATCAGCCTTAATGTGAAATAATATTAACAAGATTTAAACTGCCAATCACACAGCATGTGGACAGGGTTCCGCTAATACAAAAAATCTTGTAGTTCTGTTAGCTTAAGAATCCAAACACAAGAGATAAATGAGACAGGCAGCTGTACATTTCAGCTCAGAAACAGCAATAAATCTGTCCACCAAGTCCTAACATGAAATGAAAATCTAACGTGTGTCCCGCGGAGGGAAATTGACGTATTTCTTCGACATTTTCGAGATCGATACAGAAACACTGAATACACAACAGCAAAGTTTTGGGGACAAAACATCTAAGCGATCGATTTAGAGCAATTGGGACCTGGACAGAACTTGCTATAATAGTGCCATTAGTTGAAAAGAAAACCAGTTTCATTGATTAATCACTATCCAAGAAGCAGAAACGTGACAGGATCACATGCTTAATGGCACAGAAAATGTTTAAATCAAATTTTGTTTCAAGGAATGATTTCACTTTTATTCTAACAGAGTTTTACCGCATACAAAATACAAATATAGAATAGACGCAAATATTTTACATCGTGACAAAATAAAGGATGTCTGTTTGTGTAGATTGATCAAAATTGTAGTGAGTGAGTGAGTTAAAATTTAATGTCGCATCGGCATTATTCCAGCCATATACTATGATATAGCGACGAGACCAAGTTTAATTTGTTAACAATTGAGTCATTCAAGCAAAGGAATATTTAAAATCAATTCATGCATACTATATTTAAAAACAATTTATGAAACATATTTGAGAATAACAATATAATACTGTTTAAAACACGGGCTATGGGCCACCAGTAGCCAAAGCTAGGCCACCTCGCTGGAGATCATGGGGACTTACAGTACCTCTGCTTCCTGCATGATATCCCAGCAGGTTTTACGTCATCACTTTAGCTACTGACGGTTGTGCACAATACTAGCCAATATTAAAAATTGTCAGCAATGAGTTGGCTTAAAATCACTGGTTAATGACAGTAACATCGATAGGATTATGTGTCACACAGGGGGACAATATTTTTCCGCTACGTTAACCTCCTGGACAGAGCCTTCAATAATGTAACTCGATAATAGCATCACACCAAATTTAAAAAACAAGCATTTAATTATTCACATACATATTTAAAATTTATTATACACACCAATTTCTTTCAAATAGCTGATAATGAGATGTCTGCTGACACGGGAAAAGAGATCTTTCAGATTTACGCTTTGATAATGTGAATCCCTTGCAACTGCAAAGTCTCAAAACTGTAGACTGCATTTTACATGTGAGTACCAATGGATGATTTTCTAAATCAAACATCTAAAATATTTCTCTTGGCATGTGCAATGACAACATAAGCATGATAAGTAAAAATATTTCTTGGTAATCAACCAGTGTTTGAAATAATTTTAAAACCCAACAAGACAGTCGGGTAGGTGACCTATAAGTGTTGCCTGCCCATCTTCAAAGTCGCCTGCCCATCTTCAAAGTCGCCTGCCCGCATTCAGACATTATAAATATTGAAAACTCACAAAAACTCAGACAAATCACGTCTTGATTCAGTTGAAATAATGCATACAATTCCTTGAGAATCTACAAACTGAGTGAGTGAGTGAGTGAGTTGGGTTTAACGCCGCTTTTAACAGTATTCCAGCTATAGAGCAGCGTGTCAGCTTAATGTGGGAGGAAAGCCCAAAGTGATGCAGGTCTCAGACGTTTACCACTTCGGTGAAACCCACGAGCACGGGTATGGTGCTGACAAACCTAGAAACATAATCGGGGCGAACCGGGATTCAAACCCACAATCATAGGTTTTTGGCGTGCCCAAGGGACGCAACTCTGCACAGCGAATCGCGGCGCCTTAGACGACTGGGCCACCCGTGCCCCCTCTATAAACTGAATACATAAAATTATCTGCCAGACAGTCTGGCCTGACAGGAAAGTTACCAGCCACGGGCAGGCAGGCAGGCAGTTAATTCGGACACTGAAATCAACTACAGCATACCAACATGTCTTGAAGCCCCATGTCAATGCCTTGGACCGTGTCCTAAATAGTTTTATCCGCCTACCAAGAAACACTGAACCACAAGTTTGTTCTAAAGAAAGTACACTACATTAATATCCCAAATACAAACATGACAACATTATGCAAGTGAGTGCATATCACTTTAGCACATTTCTTGAAGATAAACTTGATTACGTATCATTAAAGTCAAAGGTTTGTTGTTTGTTTGTTTGTTTGTTTGTTTGTTGTTTAATGCTGCATTCAGCAATATTCTAGCTATATGATGTCAGCCTGTTTATCGTGGAGTCTGGACCAGTCAAACCAGTGATTGATATCATGAGCAATGTCCAATGTTTTCAGGATACGATGACATACGGGGGCACAGGTGGCCAAGTCTTCGCGATTCCCTGTGCAGGGTTGCGCCAGAAACCTATGATTGTGGGTTTGAATCCCGGTTCGCCCCAATTATGTTTCTAGGTTTGTCAGCACCATACCCGTGCTCGTGGGTTTCACCGAAGTGGTAAACGTCTGAGACCTGCATCACTTCGGGCTTTCCTCCCACATTAAGCTGACGCGCTGTGATATTACTGGAATACTGTTAAAAGCGGGGTTAAACCAAACTCACTCACCTAGATGACATACAATTGCCTCTTAAAAGAAACAAAGATAATTTGGGGTCTAATATGGTTACATCCTCAATTATCCACTGTATCATCTGTTTTATAAAAATTAAAACCCTGGACCGATCTGCCACCAGACCTTCCCCTACATCTCTATCTCTCTTATCTCTTGGGGTAGCCTAGTGGTTTAAGTGTTTGCTCGTAATGTCGAAGACCCTGGTTCGATTCCCCAAATGGGTACAATGTGTGAAGCCCATGATATTGCTGGAATATTGCTTAAAGGCGTAAACCACACTCATTCTTCTCACCAACATAGCATAGAATTTCTAAAGCCTTCTAGAGTGACTTCTTAAAGCATTCAAATAAGATCTAATTTCAAAATGGCAGCCTTGTATAAGCAAGACCTTGATATATTACTGTATTCGACGTAATAAGCGCCCATGGCGCTCTCAAAATTAGAAATAGGTGGCTCAAATTAGAATATTATTTTGATGAAAAAAACATAGTTGAAAGATAAATTTCGCTGTTTATGCTGACAGCCTGAAATGTTTACGTAGGAAATAATTCTTGTCCTTTTCCTGATTTAAAGAGTTTTATTGTAAAACCAACCCCGTATTTGAGGATTTGGACATGAAACCAATGAATTATTACAATGTTTAACTTAACGCAAAAAAACAAACAAAACTTTTAATCATCTCCATTTCCTAAATATTCACAACCCATGCTTGCCTTAAAAGGTGACCATGCTTGTCGTAAGAGGCGACTAACGGGATCGGGGTCAGGCTCGCTGCCTTTGTTGATACATGTCATCGATCACAAATGTGTGGATCGATGCTCATGCTGTCAATCACTGGATTGTCTGGTCCAGACTCGATTATTTACAGACTGCCGTCATATAGCTGGAATATTGCTGAGTGAGGCGTTAAACAACAAACAAATCATAAAAACAAAAAACTGTAATGGACACATAAGACCCTGGATAATAAAACATAGAAATGAGAGAATCTTACGACTCTCATTGTCGGGCAAACACCCACACAAACACAGCAGTTCCTAATGGTATCGAAATAGTTCCCTCGAGACAGGGTGTTCTCCACACCTTCAACTGATGCTGTGATGGGCACTGCCATCATTGGTATCCGACACAGTAGAGTGATCTTCACAACTTTGGTAAGTAGAAATACCTTTAACCTCTTGGAATAATTTCTTTTTCTTATTACGGATACCTTTTGGGGCCATTTGTCTTTTTTATTTTTTTCGATACTATCATGAAATTTCAAGACACTAAGTTGAAATTTCAAGATACTGAGTTGAAATTTCAAGATGATTATTGGGAAATTTCAATTTAGCATGTATCTTGAAATTTCAACTTGTTGTCTTGAAATTTCAAGAAAAAAAACAAATGGCCCTAAAAGGCTTCCATATCTTATAATTCTAATTAATTTGTTCTTATAATTATACTGATATCAAAACTCAGATACATCAGTTTTTATCAATTATTTACAAGAATATGTTTAATGGCGCTCTAATTTGATAATTAGGCATTGAAATAAATATATCTAGAATGTTTTACGTCTCAAAATAAATATATCTAGAATGTTTTACGTTTCAAAACAAATATATCTTGAATGTTTTACGTTTCAAAACAAATATATCTTGAATGTTTTACGTTTCAAAATAAATATATCTTGAATGTTTTACGTTTCAAAATTTCAATATATGTCAGTATCCAGATATATCTGTAGGCGTGAGACTCTAAAACCATTTTGTGAAACCTTTAAATGGAACTGGTTTGGAAGCCAATATTGTGAAAACAGTTTTCCAGATACTTTGGAGGCATCGAGTGTTGCTCACATTTAATCATTTTGAATGAGAATTTCATGTTTTCTTTGGGTATTCAATATATTTGGATTTCTTGAGTCCAATCCACTGGGTATTCTAAAATCAAGGAGTTCGACATTTTTAAAAATAATTTCAGGAGAAAGGCCTCACTTGGTTTACATATCATAGTTTAATGTGCACTTGCGGTACTGATTTGGTCGTCATTTTGACTTTTTGATAGTCACTTTGCCTGGGCTTCCTTGAAAGGAATATACAAATGCCATTTCTAAAACGCCATCACCAGTAATAAAAGCTGAGCCATGTTACAAAAATTATATTTAATGATAAAATAAAGTACGATAAAGTTAAAAGGAAGCTCACAGACATGAAATGGGCAAGAAATATACCTTTTTCCTGAATTCCTGCGGTATTCCCAAGGGTAACCTAGCAACTGCCTTCATGGCATCCTTCCACTGCTCAAAGGCACTCTCTCCAGGGGGGGGCTGAATTGAGAACCGCATCCTAGTATCGATTTCTGAAAAAAGGAAACGCCAAAATGTAATCATGGTCTATTAGATATGCATGGGATTCAGTCTCCGGGAAGCATCCTCAAACAAGATCCTGATAAAACACAACCAAAATTAATATTAACTGACACTGGAAATTAGGAAAATAATCAGGCGAGTGTCAGTTTGATTTAATTCTCAGGGTCTGTTTCTGACCATGCGCTCTTATCAGGGTAATGCAATAAATATCCATGGCAGAAGGTATGAGAACCCACCACAATAGGACCCGAGAGCTGTTATTAAGAGGAACTGACAACGAACAACGAAAGTGGTCGTAACAGAACAATTTCCATGCACTTAGCGAACATGCCGTGTTTGAAAGATTTCTCTTTTGTATTATGTTGCGACACAGACCCCGCAATGGCAACTGTGAGACAAAAATGTGTCTAGCACTCACGATGCTCAATCTTCTCCTCCTCAAGGTATTATACAAATTCCTAAAATTGCTTTTCGGTATGCTAAAATTGGTTGTTTTTTAACGGCTCTTCGGAAGCAGAGGAACTCATTTCTGAAACGTCAGCTTAGCAGATTTGACACACATGAAATAGTTCTTGTCCTTTTCCGGAATTTAATCATCCTGATTTAAAGAGTTTTATTGTAAAACCGACACCGTATTTGAGGATTTGGACATGAAACCAATGAATTATTACAATGTTTAACTTTAGGTAAAAAACAAACAAAACTTTTAATCATCTCCATTTCTAAAATATTCACAACCTGATCAACAACGACAGAGTGTAGCATCCGAAGCAGTTCCACGGCCTTAAAATGGGGTTTTGTTTCAAGAATAATAATATTGTCTTTTCTCAACACAATGATTGATGTTCACCAACCATGACTGACATATTTTTATTCAATAAATGAATCTGGATGCATAAACCATAAATGTTTATACCCCTCCAGTACAGAGTAATAGAAACAAAATGATTTTTTTCAAGTAATGTTGATACAAGTAGGGTATATTTATATACATTAAAACAGAACAAAAACGAGTGGTCACAGTTTGGAGCAGCTGGAAAAGTGTTTAATTATAAAGAAAAGCAAGTCATTAACTATTTAATTCTTAATACTTGTATTAAAGTATGAATTAAATCTTATGTTATTACATCAGCGCAAATCTACCAGAACCTAAATATCTAAATTGACAGATATTGTTTCATTTCCATTCCCATAAAGCCCTGAAATTAAAATGTGACCTTTTAAATACAAAGACGAATCATTTCCTAAAATATTGTAGTTAGGGCATGTCAAATGTAAAAATAAAAAAAGCAGTATATCTTCAAAGGGATAGCCACAAGAGCACGATGTATCCGAGATGTGTCTTTCAAGCCGATGGAACTTTAAATCGCTACAACCGAGTCTGAGGCAAGAATGGATTATCTGACACAATCTGGTACCAAGGTTAAGTTAAAATGTCAGGGTATGAAACTCCCCAAAATTTCAGCCAGACCACAGGACTGGCTAGCTGAAATACTTGCCAGCCCTGACCAAAACCCGCCTGCCCACTATAATCATATGTTTCTCAGGATAAGCTAACGGGGTTTCTTTTTGGTTACATTTTATCATTCATCTTTACATGTGAATTAATGCTTATCATCGAGAAATATTTAGAATATTTTCACATATGAAATATAACCCGACTGTCGGGCAGGGGGGTTTGAAAATCTGGCAGCCCGAGTTGAAATCAACCCATCTCGGACGGTCGGGCAGGCAGGTATTTCGAACACTGAAAATGTATAATAGTAAGTTGAAGAATCCTTGTCCTTGTCTTGTCTTCATCAGTACCCTCACTTATATTACCCAAACGTGGAGTAAAAACAGAATTCAAATTTACTCAAATTTAGATCAAATAATATTAATGACAGACCAGTGTCCGTTATCATCAACATTAAATACAGGAGTTAAGGACAACCTGATTCTTTCATATTACTATAGTTAATCATGTCATGCCATGATTAACTATAGTAATATGAAAAAATCAGGTTGTTCTTGACCTTTTTTGAGTAGTATAAAAAGCAATATAATACATAAAACATCTACTGATCATACAATGGACCCCCATTTTATTCCTTCAACAAGACTTCAAAATAGAGACTCCAAAAAATAGAAAAGTGGCAACAAATATAAAGGACATGCATTATTTGATTAACGAAATGTTTTAAAACATTAAACGAGACAAACCACTCACATGGTAACATATTCAGATTAATTTTTGAAGAACAAAGAGAAATCAAAGTAAAAATATAGTACCAGTTCTTCTATTGTTAAACAACTGCCTGAGACGTGTGTGATTCTTCATATTGAGTCAGTGTCAGAGTGGCGGATCAGTATAGCTTATCACAATACCTACATGATGGGTGTGGATAGAGCTTGACATCTCGTCCATAACAACAATTAGTCTGTTACACCAGGAAGGTATTAAAGTCATATCGCATTAGCTGTCTATTTCACAATAGCTGGAGGCCATGTAGGACAGTAGATACCTCTGTGTTAACCAACAGATTGTGTTAGCCTGAGCTTAGCTTCAGGGCCTGTGTTTTGTAAGAGCTTTTAGGGAGCGGTTTTATTGACTTTTAAGATTAGGTGAGGTGAAATTAGGTTTAACGTCGCATCCAAGATAATTGCACTTATATAGCGACATATAGTATGTGTGTGTGTGTGGCTGCTTGTACTAGTCCGGACTGATGCTGATTTATAGTGCTAGCTCACCGAGATACCATGCCGCAGTTTAACATGAATACCCCACTCAGACACAGTATACTGACTCCGAGCCGATGAGTCCTTGTTTTAGCCCCTTAATGCCGAGCGCCAGACAGGGTAACAACAAGTACCATCTTTTAACGTCTTTTTGTATGACGAGGCTGGGGACCGAACCCTGGACCTTCCGCTCTCCGGGCGGACGTTCTACCACAAGACCACGGAGGCGGTCACCTCCGTATAGCGATATGTACGATACATTACATTACTTGTAGTGGTGTACAAATACATCACTAATAACAGACTTTAAATGCTAAATGAAACTGTTCAACAAACAGCTTACATGGATTCTCTTACAAGTATTTCACAGTTAGATAACATTCACAGCGCCCTCTAGCCTATATGTTTCCGCCATACAATATCCCATCTTCGGTCTCTGAAATTTAGAAACAAATGATTCAGGTTGCCATTCACCTACAACAAGAAAGAAGTAAGACGAGTTCTATGGATGAACAACTTCTTTATTACAATTGGTGCGACGTTTCGGTGTAGATCCTAACACCTTTATCAAGCAAGTGATGGATAGGGCTAAACAACATAGGTATATATACACTTATTGACATCTCCATCATCTCCATCAGTTAGCTTGTTTACTCTGCTAGTATACTCTGTGTTCATCAGTCATCCACTGGCTTCCAATTAGCTTAATCACCTCTCTGTGCCCATCACTAGTCACTGTAACAACTTAGATGTCAATAAGTGTATATATACCTATGTTGTTTAGCCCTATCCATCACTTGCTTGATAAAGGTGTTAGGATCTACACCAAAACGTCGCACCAATTGTAATAAAGAAGTTGTTCATCCATAGAACTCGTCTTACTTTATCACTCCAACTTCTAAATGCCACTCAAAGAAACAAGAAAGAATGTCAGCTTATGAAAGAAAAGTAATGTATCAAGATACAAATTATATCGAGCCCTTAGTATCGGGATACGTATCATATCACAACCCTACTGTATCATTACACCTGATTTTTTTTGTAGTCAATGCAGACCAAGGTATCTTACAAGTTGTCGACTGGTCCCGAGGGGTACTTGCTTTGATGCTCCCCGAGCAGGTATGTCTTACGCATGCTTTCACCGGAATCGGTAAGAATACTAAAGTTAGGCATGTATCCATTTCGCTCATCTTAGAACATAAATAACCAGATATGTCACAATAACTGATGCACAGAACATACAAAATTTATTTGGTTTTGTTTATCCAAACCTGACCGAATAAAAATAAATTGTATCATTAAATGCTGACATTTAAGAAATTGCTTTTTCACATTTCCATTTGTGATTCAAGCTAAATATAGGATCTTCTGAATATCTTTTCTATGGAAACATGAATTCATAATTATTGTAGAAATATTTCAAGATATTTTTATAGATTTTCGATATATATTTAGCTAAAAAGAATTCACGTAGTTGACATTTCATGAAATATTCTGAGACATCAAAGGTTAATGTCTGAAGTCTTCTATTCAAACAACAATAGTTAATGTCACATGGTGTTCTTATGTTTCTTCATGACCTATCCATCTGTGTAATGTTAGCTGCCTGAATTTGTTTATAATTATAGCCATCAGAGGATTTCACATGTGTGCTTATATTCCAACAAATCATTTATTGGTCCTGTTATCAGTGATATATATTTGTTTGTTTGTTTGTTTGTTTAACGCTGCACCCAGCAATATTCCAACTATATGATGGCTGTCTGTGAATAATCGAGTCTGGACCAGACAATCCAGTGATTAACATCATGAGCATCGATAAGCGTAATTGGGATACAATGACATGCATCAACCAAGTCAGCAAGCCTGACCACCCGGTCCTGTTAGTCGCCTTTTACGACAAGCATAGTCACCTTTTATGGCAAGCATGGGTTGCTGAAGACCTATTCTACCCCGGATCTTTACAGGTACAGTGAAATATAAGTCATCTGGGCCAAGCCAGGACACTAATTATAACCATATTGACATGAATTGTGAAATGTTTTAATTTCAATTTAGGAATTTTTACCGACAATTGCTGCAGACATGGTCATCGGCCGCTGAGAAGGTCAAGATAAATCCATGAATACCCAAATGGTCCAGTCAAATAAAAATATCAGACATGCTCAAATGTCTACCAAATAGCCTTTTTAATTTCTTACACCTTTCGGACGAGTTTAGGACTTTTAACATGATATGGCTACAAGGCCGAGTAAAAAGGTTGATTTTTAAA